CTCTATTTGCTTGCAAATTATACGTTTGGACGTCGCAGTTTACCGTTACCGATTGAACGCTATAATAGCGTACAATAAACTGAGCAATATTTGATAGCAATTAAAGCTCGCGTTACAGTTCGCAACGGTTCGCTTGACCAACGATGGAATTGTTTAACGTATCTCTGTCCCCGGCGAATCGATAAGGTGATAATAATGAGTAATGTGGCGCAATGATTATTCGCAAACGCGAATAGTCGCGTGCAACGGAAATATATTCCATTGGCAAATTTCGATGGGAATCGATATCTGCGTTGGTTAGACGACTTTCTTGAGGTGAACTCAGCTACCCGCGTAGCATATCGCAAAAATCTCCATAACTTCAGTGTAGGATCATAAATCATGCTCTTTTCTTGGTTTCACCATTTCCAGGGGTGGTGAGACTCCTGTGTTATATCGAGAAACTCTTACTCCTGTATTCCTCTTTATATATTACATAAGTCTTGAAAAGATACACGAAAAGAATATTTAAATAGCGATTACATTCCCGTCAAATATATTATTCATCAAAGCTTGGATTGAAAATTGAATTCTTTTTTGACAATTGAACTAAACAGTGAAAAGTTAGAGCTAGCTTCTTTACACCAGCTGACAATTAATAACGTCAAGATAGAATTGACAATATCTTCCGCATTATCCTCGCAGAGGATATTAAAACTAACGAGATCGCATGTTATCGGAAGTTTCCTTTACTACGACCGGGAAGCAAATAATAAGTTTCACGGAAAACGCGGTTTAATGGTAGTTAAACGTTTCTTTCCAATCTTCTTTGAGACAACGACGGCAAAGTTTTCCCGCCGCTACGAGTCCTACGGTTGTTTATTGCCTGATAATAATAAGGAACTCGGTAATGCTTTCATAAAGATTTTTTTCCTCTCTACTTCCGGGCCTGTTCCCTCCTAGGCCGTAAACGTGGAATTGACCTTACTTGATCCTACCCATATTATGATTTATGTGTAATAAATGGAACTAATTGATTTTTTTACAACACGCTGGGTATTTGGATTACGTTAAAAAAAAAAGGCAACTGGTAAACATAAAACTGAATGCTCGTTTAATGTGGGCCAGAAACAGTATATAACTGGGAATTAAAGAACCAGTACTTTGTCGGATAAAGCAAGAAACCGGTTGATTATTTCGTTAAAAAATAACGAACGTGGTTTTCCATGGTAACAGGCTTTACGTGCGAAATAGCTTTGAAGCGATCCTTTGTGCGAAGTAAACGCTCGATGACGAGTAACGAGTAATAGTAAAAGGGCTCAACAGCCCACGAGGCTTTTATCCCATGAACGTGGCTGGAATCCCGCTAGTATCGTATTTACGCGTTTGCCGAATAGATACATACATACAAGAAGGGTTTTCTATGTATTTTTCTTCTAACTTCGATATTTAACGAGTTAACTATGATTACTCGACAGTTTATTGGCACTGACAAAATCCGACCATTCCACCGTCGAAATGGCGAACTTTTGACAAAAAATTTCGTTTTTCTTCAATAACTCCTAAACCGTTGGTCCTATGGGTAAATTGCATATGACCTTTCTTATAGAGGACGACGAGATCTATAATTTCTGTATAAAAATTCTTCGCTAGCTTCAATGGTTTGGAAGTTATTGGCAAAAAACGAAAATTCTGCCAAATCTGAAGGGGTACCCCTTGAAAAATCTCGAAAAAATTGAAAAATTTTTTTTTGTTGAAATTTCGAAAAATGCTTTTAATAAAAGTTGTAAGTACTACTATTACCTACAAGAAAGGTCGTATACAATTTATTTCCATCTCGAATACTTCAGGACGAATCCATTAATTATTTCGTTAATCGTCAAATACTTAATAAGTCGAGTTAGAATGAAATTGTACAGGATCTTTTTTTCTGTATCTGACAACTACAGTCTATGTACGTATTCCCAATTTCCGCTGAAAGAGGAGCCGATTTCACGGGACACGGATGACGCGGGGGTCCCGGGGCGCGATTACAGGAGAAAAATCGTAAGCGCGAGATCTTCTCGACGATTGAATTCGCCGCGATAAATAACGTGCCAACGGAAATCGATTTAATTTTAGCACACGGCTGCGCGTGCACGTGATGTGGACAATGCGCCGCTCCCAAGCACACGGTGATGTACGAGCTTTGCCTACGCGCGCACCTGAAAGTTTGTTATCGCCCGAAGATCCGATTATTTGTACCAACTCTCGTCCGTCGTTCATCACGTTTGTTTCGGCCCGAAAAATCCGCGTTTTAATATACGCTGACAACGTAAACTCGTTAATGACCCACAGAACTTCTAACGAGCCCCGGTCTTCACCTATATTCATGCATATTCTTCCAACAATTTATTCCGTTTTGGGAAATCCGCGTATTGATCCTGTAGTTTTTCTGTAGGTCCGTCGAATCGACATAACGTGTTCAATTATTCATTAATAATTTCGCGGCCGGCAGGGCACCGCATAATTTTTTCATCATTTGAATTTCAGATGCGGTACGCGTCCGTCTCGAGTTTTTCAACGGCCGACCCGCGCCCGTTCCAGCAATCGCCTTTTGTCTAATCGAAAATCGTGTCGACGATTCGACAAATCGATACCTGATTCCGAGCGTCACAATTTGGCCGCGTTTCATCCTGTAATCCGCTTAAAATAAACGCTCATTTCGGGACGGTAAATAAACCGTAGGAGAGCCGGCTGTCACAACGCACAGTGAAAAGCGATGAAAAGTTTTCCATATTTCATTCGAGCACAGATTTCGAATTGTTTCGCCTTGTTCGCGCGAAATATTCCCGCGGCCACTTGAACACCAGTGCTACTAACGCGTTTCTCTGATTGCACAATTACGGTTGGTGATTATTTGCTTCGCCCGCAACGTGTCAGCGTCCCGTCGTCGTCGTCGCGGACGTTGCATTTTCCAGCGGATGGAAGCGCAGCCGCGGTGACTTTTAATTATTCAATTACCTTTTGCTCGCAACCGCGCTACGCCCTAGCAACGTCTTGCTTAATTTGTAAACGCGCTGTCCATTAAGCCTGCGTTACATGCGCAATCTCTGTTAACGCGTCTTTCCCATTGTCACTCGAGATTGCGGTCGACGACCCATACAGCAATCAAATTTCAAACTCGATAGATAATAGAAAAAGCTTAGACTATAATAAATGATACAATTTTTGTTCACCGAACAATTTCTACTCACTGACTTCTATTTCTATGATTTTATACGTAATTTCATAAGCCGGACAGTAGAAATCGTAACGTGAACAAATATTGCGTATTTTTTTCCTATAATCTTTCAATCTAGACCTGTATTTGAATTTATAGCATACTTTAAAGATTGTTTCACTGGTGTTACCGTTTTTGGAATGTCTATTGATAACATAAAGTGGTATCAGTCCGGTTGAAATGCGTTGTAAACGGGCAATCGCGTGAAGCAGGCAGACCTGGGGTTCGTGGGAGGGGGTGAAATTTCTAGCTTCGAAACTTAAACTCGGCTCGTCTGTTCCCAGAGTGCTTCATAAACTACTCGGCGAGATACTTGGGCTGGGCGAGCAGCCGCATTATGCGACACACAGGGATGGAGGGAGAGAGAGAGAGTGTGAGATGTAAAGGTGAATGATGCGCGTTCTAATGCGGCGCCTGTAACCGTGCCCGCGCGTGTACCAGAGTTGTTAAGGCGTCGAAATTAATTGTACTGTCTTTTATGGCCCTCGGGTTATCGGCGGATGAGACTTACAACGCAGTTGCCCGGCAAGTTAGTGTTGATAATGGTGTAGACACTCTGAGTTATGCAAGTTCCGAGCAAATTATTTGCCCTGCCGATGGCCTACCACAATGCTACGTTTAAGGCTCTATGAGCCATAAGATGTCTACCAAAAGTTTCAGTTGAAACGTCCAATATTTCAAGCGATAAACTTTAAGAAAACATGATATTTATAGAGAAATAAGGTTTATAAAACTGTTTTTTTTTAGTCACAAATTTTAACGTGTAATTTCTAATATTCTGATATTCGGTTTTGACACTTTTTTATTATATAGGATTTTACTTGACTTGAAATTGTTTATAACTTCTACAATTCCCACTTTTTACTGTATATCTTAAATAACATTCTCGTAGTTCATACTATTTCACTTTTAAACCTAAACGTGTATTAACAATTATACAAAATTACAAAGTTCTGTCATTGTTGCATGTATATTCTGTCATAAATAAAGTCAAAGTATTACCATTCAACATAAGAATTCGAAATAATAAGAATATATACTAAAACTAATAATAACTTGGAAACAGTTCTTTAAAATCTCTAAAATTTTGCAGTGTTTTACTAATATAATATCCAACAACTGTTAAAATTAGAATCCTGTGTTCTTAATTAAAGGCTCATGCAACCTTAAGTGCCTCCGCGTTTGAAATAATTCATAGATGCTGATTCAGTTTTTAAAAAACATGAAACATGAATAATTTGTTACAAAGCTAAAAAAACATTTGTTTTTTCTCTACAAAATACATTCCACTTCAACGATATTCGAAATAAAATACCATTTGCGAGAACTGTTTCATGGAGATTCAGAACAAACAGGTAAAACGAGAGTTCATATGTAAAACCTGTTCAAACGCTATCAATAATACGTGTTGAAAGTGTAAATCATTCGATACCAAATTGCAGACAAAATTACTCGTAGTATGTAATGCATGCAGTTTGAGTAAAAGAAGCCTCCAGAACGTCCTTAAAGTTCTACGTTCAGGTTTGACACGTACTCGTTTATCGTTTTGACAAGATACAGTTGCAAACAGTAGAAAGGACATGTCGTGTTCGTCGACCTTGAGGAAATACTGTCGGAAGGTCGAAATGTCTGGGCCATGCATGTTCGAGGAGCCTACGGGAGCTCTTATCTCGAGGATTCGAAGAGCAAATCGAACGCCTCGACGGCGAGGGGTTGGTAGCTGCCGCGAATTTGTGAGAACGAATTCTGGCGCACGTACCTTGAGTGACCGCGATCCCTTCGATAACCAGGAGAAAAGCAGCGAGTATCAGAACGGTGAGCCAACGACACAGCATTTTTAACACTTTGTTCAATCGTCCTCACCGCCGATCGTTTTTATCAGCTGAACCTGGTACACACCGGGAGAGATTTATGGGTCGGATCGGGTTGAATCGGCTTCGAAATGAGCCACCGGAGCCCCTTCGCACTCGGTAGCCTTCGCACGTTTCACACGTATCTCGTACTTTCACTCAGCGAGATTGCTTCACGCGACTCGCACCAGTCGGCAACTACCGTGATTAGTAAATTCACTGTGACGTCGACGGTCGTACAGGAAAACGGAACTCGCGAGGTACCACCAGCCGAGGCTGGGACCAGCACCGAGAAAAAGGGTTATCCAATCGGGCGGCGGGCGCCGGGGTGGGTACAGTTAATCGTCCGCGTGCGCTATAAATTCGGGCGAAGGATAACGCGGGGCAATCTCGCGTGGTAACCGAAATCCGGAGAACCGCAGCAGAAACAATCCACGGAAACTCGCGCGTGCAATAAATCACGCGTCAAATCCCGCGGACGGATTGCCGATACACGGTTGTTCGCGCGGAATCAAGGAATCCGCAGAGCGCGAGCGGCGAGCCGGAAAATCCCGCAAGATCCTCAGAGGCGCGGTTTAACCAGCACCGTGTCGAAAGCTCGGCTGCCGTAACCGCGACGAAACCCACGCTTCATCACACGTGGATCCTTTGCGATCATCGCGAGCCGGGTTCCGCGATCGTTGTTGCTCACCCTCCGCATTTTCTTTCTCACCCAGTCTTTCCCTCGTTAATGCGTCCAAAGGATGAACGAAATTCCTGAGTGACACTCATTCAATACTTTCATTTGATCGACCGTTCACTGGATCACCGTAGATCGGATCGTACACGCACGGGGGGGTCGACACGCTCACGTCGTATACCGGGGCAAGATTATACGTTACGCTCGTCGTCCTGCTCGTCGACGACGTGCACGCGACGAACGACGTCGTACGCACATGGACCAGCCGCGTTTACACGGATGCGGGGTGCCGCTCTTGGCGTCGCGGCGCGAAATGATTCTGCGGGACGGACGTCTCCCACGACGGCGACGCATGCGCTCGGTTTTCTACTGCGAGCCGTCTAGGCGCGGACGGGTTACGCGCAGACCACTTCTACTTGACGCGCTCGAGCACCGACTGCTTGCTGCTGCTGTTGGCTCCGATTCTCGGACTCGGGTCTACGGTTCCCGTGTACGTACACACCGGCTGCAGGAATGCTCTCGTTGTCGTCGGGTCAGCTGCCACGCAACCCTCCGCGACGCGATACGATCTTTGAGAGCGTCGTGACACGAGAGAGGTCGCGTTCGCGGGGAATCCGGGGAATTCTCTGGCAGAAACCAGCCAACGGTGTTAAACGCTTGCATCGGCTAGAGGATTTAGCTTGAAAACACTGTCTTGGACGAAACCCATTCAAAATGCATTGATTTATATTGTAATCCTTATTCCCCTTATCGCTTCTACGCTACGCTGTTCATGAATAATTTCATATGCAATGTAAACACATTTGTTATAACAGTATATCGTCCGAGATAGATCAGACTGGACATTTTATCACAGAATGATTTAAATTTCACGATAAATATCTACGCTAAATAGTATTTAGCAATTTTTTCTTGTATCTCGATCCAGTAGAAATACATTCGTGTCACTGCACCGAAGTGTCTTATTACTGCATCAATTATGGGAACGTCCCTGGAGATACTTGTCTTCGAGGAAAGATAAGTCGGCAACAAATTATAGCATTAACCGCAATTAATGGACGCGGCAAGCTGGGAATTTATGATAGCCGGGGCCGTTAAGGAAAATATGTAAGGCGTCTAGCTCGGTGGAAGAAATTATGGAATCCGCAAACATTTCCCACGAATCCGGCATAAATTATTTTCCTTAACGTCCGGACGTACACCGCGTACCGGCCGACTGCATAAAGCTTTTGTTATCGTGGCTTCCACGTTGAGTACCTTGTCGGCCATCCGTGGCACGTTGCATTTAAGAACGGCACGAGACGCGCACTAATCTTCGCGTTTGCCTCTCTCGCGCTCCGCTTCGGGAACGGGAGTTTCGAGGGAAGAAAGCACCGGCCGTATTAACGTCCAGTGTGCAAGCCGGATCTCCCTTGCTTGACTTACGGCTAAAGCTCTTTTATAAGAAACCGACCCTCTTCCTGGAACGCTTTCGTTTGATCGTTTTAAAGCGTTCGCTTGCTGCAGAAATTAGCTCACTGTCAACTTCATTCACTCTTTTTACTTTGACTGATTATGAATTATTAATTATAATAGTGGCAATAAAGTTTACATTCTCGGCACTAAAGGCTACAAGTCTTTTAAGAAATTTTAATTAGACGTTTAAGCGGTTTTAATTTTTATGCTGAGTATTGCAAATTTTGATGAATAATGACGGTACACATGCGATTGATATTGATACGAACGGTATGGGTTCAGTTATCACGTGTCTATAGATGGAAATTCGGTGTTTTAATTAGGGAGTTCGAGTACTTGTTTCTTGCTTCTCAATAACGTTCACCGCGTATCATAAACCGACGAGGTTACCTAAAGTTTGTAGAAGTTGGGATGTAGAACTGGTTCCCTAAATTAAGGGCATGTGCAACGTCCCTAACATTACATGCTTGCGTGTCTTTTGCGGCAAGCTTGCGTGCAACGTGTGCCAGATTGCTGCCCCTCAGTCTTTGTTCGAAGTTCCTGAAAATCCCAATTAATGCAATTATGCTGGTCTTGAAATTGCCTCGACGTTTAACCCAACGATTGTATGCAACAATTCGTAGAAATTGTAGACAGTGTCAGACGAATAAAATTCACGTCGCAGAATAGGACAGAGATGCCCTTTAAGTGCTCAAAGGTAAACTTCGATAAAAGAATAGGATCATTCCATAAGGTAGCGTAGGAAAGTTCAGCTGGTTCCCCTTGGCTTGGAAATGTCACAGAAGAAGTTGGCCGGTGCTTTAATAACGCGACACGCACGGGCACAGGGTGGCGAACATTAACACTGTTTGCCGAGAGGAAAGAGAGAGCGAGAGAGCGACAACGAGGCGTCGCGTTCCATAGTTGGCACCGGATTTCGCGCCAATAAATTTCTGTAAACAGGAACAGATTACGCGTCGCTATCAATGTGTTGCAGTTTGGCAACATCGGCCTCTGACTCTCTTGTGCGAGGGTCCAATAAATTCGCGGGGCCCCGGCAAACAATTATGGCTGCCCGAACCAGGCAAGAAATATCATTTGTACTACCTGGAACTTCGTATCAGCAATCGGCCCGCGACATACGTACATATTACTTAGCCGTATTTAGAATAGTTCGAAGAACGCAGTTACAGCGTTTTTTAACTTTTATGTACAAACGACACGTGATCGGTGGACTGCGGATTTTTATGCAAAATGAAATCTTAGTTGAGATAATTTAATAATTAAATTTTCCTTTCTTAAAAATAATAATTATAATTTTGATGCATTATTTATATTCTCTGTACAACTCAGTTTTATTATAAATGCATCAAATCTGTAGTCCAGTGATTGTCATTCATTCAATTTTGTGAAAACGAAGATGAGTGTGCGTAGCATGAAATCTGTATTACCAATCGCGTATACGTATTTATGAGGTAGAACTGTTGATACTGAAACAGCGTAAAAGAGCGAATAGAAGAGCGTGCACACAGTCGCCCGGGGTCGGTTGTACGGGCGTATAACACGCAGAACATTCTGCTCCAGATTCGTTCGATCAATCCGATGTGAAAGGTGTTTCCGAGCGCTGCGCCGCGCCCGCTATCCCGCCTTTTTGTGTCGATTCGCGTACACACCGTACGTACGCCTTTCGAAAACCGCGCAGAAAACCGGCACGATAGAGTGATAGCGCGGCTGAAAGAAAGTGCCCGTTCCATTTCGTCGGATTGACGTTATTGGAACCGGCCGGCCGGTAAAAAAAAAAAAGAGAGGAGCGTTAAGGACGAGGAACGTCACTGCCGTCGATGCAAAGATTAATGGAACCGCGGATCAACTCGGGCTAGCGATATTGAACCGTTGATGAGAAGCAGACTATGTTCGTATTAGCAAATAGCACGTTGAAGTAATAGTGTTTTGTGTATAAAAATTTTCTCTACCATACAGTGCATATTATTCAGTAATTGGGTGTTCAGAATGTCAATTGGATTAGCAAATAATTTAGCAAAATTAATTTATAATACAAATCGTCATGAAATGATGAATTAAAAATGTTCAGCTTCTGGCGATCATCGAACGACGACGAGGTAAGGGAAGAAGCGGTGTAATAAGTTGCACGCGACCCGGAAAATTGGAGAAATTTCATTGGTATACGGGCGGGATGATTCTTCGGAGTCATCGGAGACAAATCTTCTCTAAATCGGGACGCGGCACGGTGGTTGTCTGAAGTGGCTGAATCTCTGTTCCTTCGTTCACGAAGGTAACGAGACGGGGAGAATTGTCCATGCAAGTTGAAGCCACGGTGAAGAGGCACCGGCAACCGGTTCGCCGCCTTCCCCCCCTCCTGTCGCCCGTTCCGTCCCTCGTTCCTCTGTTCGTTCGGTGATTTTCCTCGGCCCATTGACAAGAAAGGACTCGCAAACGATTGCCAGCGGGGCAATTGAGCTTAAACAACGAGCACGTGGGGAACGTGCATCGGGATTAGAGGGTTTTAAAGGAACAATTGAGCGAAAGCTTTATCTTCCTTCATTCCTTCCAACGTTTACGACTGATGTCCGAGTTCCTTCTCCGGCGTACGATAAGGATGATTAATCCGAATTCCTCCTCGAAACTTTTCGAGGACGAACGATTTTTGAATTTCCTCGAACAGCTTCCAACGTTTTTCGACAGACACAGATACACAGAAGCTCGAAGATACGCTGGAGAACAGCTTGTCGAAGATAATCTGATACTCTCGAGAACAGTCGAGTGGAATAGTGGATCGCCAGATCGCTTAAGAACTGGATTTTTCGAAGAAACTTCGGATTTTCCGTACCTCACAAATGAGGACCATTAAACGATTCAACAGACAATTAAAGAATTCGCTAGACAGTAATTGTTACGACTTCTGACAAATAATTCTCAAGTTACAATTAAACTTTAATTCATTAACTACTTAAGGTGACAATTTGCCTGTTTAGGCTGTTTTATACCAGAGAAATACAGGTGATTTTATATAAAGTAGATTATCGTAATCCTCGGAACACGAGTTTCGCGATGGAAAGCCGAACCGTGTTTAGCTGGTTAGTACACAAACGAATCCAGCGTAATTCCTGTTGTCGCGCGACACGGTTTCACTCGCGGCTAAGAAATCGCGGTTTAAGATCCATCCCGCAGTTTCCCACAGGCCTGAACGCAAACGATATCGATTTCCCCCTCACCCCCCGACGACGTACCCGCCTACAATGTAAACGTGCCATTACCCTTTTGCTACATCTTCCTTAAACTCCGTCAGATGTAATAATGGGTCGGTGACTGGCACAGTTTTTCCTGGCACGAGTTTTTCCGTTTTCGTTGATTAATTGCTACATTTCGTGCTGTAAGTGGGACTTTTTAATGGAAACCGGAGGGGCCTCGACGACGATACCAACCCAGAGCCCCACGCACAATAATGAGAAAAAAAATAATCGTTTTCTTTATTTGTTTTTCGCATGGAATCTGCGAATTTGTTACGGTCAATAGATTTGGATTTTGTATTTCCTTCGGGTTACATATTCGTTTGGCATTAGCGACTATGTATCGTATAATGGCGTAAGCGTGGAGAACGGAATCAAATGATGTGGAAATATCAATGTTTGATGTATCACAGTTAAAAGTATTAAGATATTCCGCCCCTCGTGGAACGGCAAGCCTGATTGATCGCTTCCGGCAAGTCATAACTTACTGAGAATTATTAACAATTATGCGATACTTCTTGGCAAACGTGAAACGTGTCCGCGATTAATCAACCTTGCACTTTACAGAACGTATCTATTATCGTGAACTTTCTGCCACAACTATTACCTCAATAACACCGTAGAATAACGAGTAACTCTCCCCCAGCCGTTACTCTCTTCCTTTTTTAATGCTCCTAATTATGCACGTCACTCAACTA